AAAATGCAGTAGGTGCCACAGCGGGGAACACTGGAAACATAGTCGTCCACACCGTTGGACGAATTCCCGAAGGATGGTTCTGAAGATGATTAAGATTTACCAGGGCTAAGTAAGGTGAAGGTGTTTCAGGCGTGACCAAGCACAGAAGTGAGAGTGGGCATTCCCATCCTGGAAGCTGCAGGTGTGTTCCAGCCAGAGAAGAGGCAAACCAGGGATGCCCTCATACTCCTTACCCTGGGATCCCTAGGATACACATCTTAGGCAGGTTTTCATTTGTCTCTGGTATTTCAGCGAGGTTTCTAGAACCTCCACAGAGTTAGTTTCTCTAGCCTTCTGTGCTCCCCTAGACCATTGTGTATACCTGTATGAAGACCCTTCTTAAATTAGTTTTTGCATTTCCCCCTGCATGTCTGTCTTTGCCTTCTATCCTTGGCACTACTCAAGGGAAGAGATCTACTCCTCACCTCTATAACTCTGTGGCGCTGCGCTCAATGCTGGCAAAAATATGTTTGGGGAATAATGAACCACTCCATGAATGGGTAGAGTGTTCTGAGTGGCTTTGCTCTTAACTTTGAGGAGGGGGCCCAGTTTGGGCCCAGTATTGGCATGTAAGTTCAAGATATAAACCAAGAATTTAAATATATAAAACTCAGTTTTATGTTGAGTTGAGCAGGGCTGAGCTGGGTGGTTTATGTCATTAAGTTCATTTAGGTCAGATAATGCTCATGAAGTTAGAGCTGAAGACCCATCTTATTTGTAGTGTTCTTAGCACTGCATCAAAGCGATTTTTCATTTGAATATTTCTTTCATTGATATTTTCTTTCTCAGAGGAGGCTATGAAATGACGATGAGGAGGATGCTCACTTTGATGAAAACAAGAAGAAAAATTACCACCTTTTGTTGGGCGTGTGCTGTATACCAGGGACTGTGCTACATGCTTTATGTAGATTAACTCCATTTTATTGAGTTTATGAGGCAAATTACTATTTATCTAGTCCCATTTATCTGGTACTATTGCTTGCCTTAATAGATGAAGAAAATGAAGTACAGGGAGGATCTCTCACTCACTAGTGAATGTGATGGCATCACCATGTCTGACCCAGAACCTGTCGCTTGTACATGCTCAGTAGTTTCTTCCTCATATCAGCAGTAAAATCAGGAGCCTGGAAGAGTCCTTAGCAGTCAGCTATTCTATCTCCTTCCAGAGGCAGGATCATTCTTGAATTGAATACTTTGCTATATACACTGTACCCGAAAGGTCTCTATACCCTCTGTCTACCTGATGAGCTCCTCCCCATATTTCAGGACTCACAGCTCAAGCTACTCCTCCTAAGGAGTATCTAATATTGCCCTCCTTGTCTTGGTGTCCCTCTTATCTGTGAAATGCCCCTATCACACAAGGGGCATGTTCCTGGAGGCAGTGTGTATAGTAGTTAAGGACCTGGGCTCTAAAGCTAACTGTTCGGGGTCAAATGCCAGCTCTACCCATGTCAGCAGCTGATCTTAGGTGCTCTTCTGCCCCTGAGAGACTGTGAATCTCTTGGCCTCAAGGGATGATATTTACTCTGAGTGGCTTAGATGGCTAAGTTACAAAATCACCATGTTCTTGACATTAATAGCAAATCTGATTGCATCTTCCTGAAGAGCAGACGCACTGTTTCTGCCAGTTTCTGGATCTTGATCCTTGAAGGACATTTGAGAAGTGAGGTTGGTTGGTTGGTTGTTTTTTAATACACTTTTAATTTTTTAGAGCAGTTTTAGGTTCACAGCACAATTGATTGGAAGGTACCCCCTGCTCCCACACATGCACAGCCTAGCCCCCATCCACATTTTCCACCAGAGTGGTGCAATCACTATAAGTGATGAACCTACGTTGACACATCATCATCACTTAAAGCCCATGGCTTACATTACTTTTTTTTTTTTTGGAGATTATTTATTATTGAGAGAGATTTTATTTATTTATTACTGAGAGAGAGAATGAGCAGTAGGGAGGGGCAGAGGGAGAGAGAGAGAAGCAGACTCCCTACTGAGCGGGAAGCCCAATTCGAGGCTCGATCCCAGTACCTGGAGATCATGATCTGAGCCAAAGGCAGACGCTTAACCCACTGAGCCACCCAGGCGCCCCCCGTGGCTTACATTACTGTTCACTCTTGGTGTTGGACACTCGATGAGTTTGGACGAACGTATGACATGTATCCACCATTATAGTATCATACGGTTTCATTGCTAAAAATCCTCTGTGCTCTGCCTGTTCATCCCTCTAGAAACTAGTTTTGAGGCTGTTTTTCTCTTTGTTTCTTTTTCTTTTCCGTTTCATTTTCCAGTTCCTTGCCTTTCCTTCCTTTTCTTAGAGACAGGATATCTTGAAAGTTTTGAAAACCTCACGTCTGTTCCCTGTCCCCATGGACACTTGCCTGGCTTCTTGCCTCCTCTGCTCCATGCAGACTAACCATCCGTCTGATTGGCAAATCCTTTCTTTCGCCCTCTGAATGCCTTCGGTCTGCTCACTGTGAACCCTGAGTCCTAGAAGCCACTGCCGTCTTTTCATGCTAATTTTACGTATTTCTACTCCAACTCATTGTGAGTTGGCCTCACAGCTTGAACTCTCGAAAGCAGTGTTCCTTTTTGCCCCTTGAGGGAACATCTCACTGTTGTCCTTGTGTCCTGGACTATGGTGTGCATCTCTTGAACATCTTAAGTTTTAGCAGAACATCTTCATGGGAAATCTAAGGCAGCTACTTATTTACCCCCTAGATCTCTGTGTTTCTTCATCTGTTTTTATTATTATATTTTTCCTTCATTAAGAAAAGGAGGTAACAGACAAGATAGACACAGAGAAATCAAATATCTCAAATATTTTACATTCTTTCACATGCTCTAATTGATTTGTAAATATTCATGAATGGGCCTGAAAAAGCGCATATTGGACCAGTGTAGACTTTTAATCCATCAGACCAGGGTTTAAACTTCTGCCTTGCTCTTTCGTAATGTATGACCTCAAATGAGTTACCCAACCTTCGTGAGCCTCAGTTTCCTTCTCTGTTGAATGGAGATACTGATAGCGTCCTTACCATTTTGTTGTGGGAACACTTGCAAATAACCTACATAAAAGTACTGGCATAGTGCATGGTCTGTGGCGGGGACTTATGACCTGTCCCTAGGTTCCTTCCCTTCCCCTTTTACTCCCCCACCTCTCATTTTGCTTCTAATCATTATCATCCTTATTTTTTAGGAGATAAGTGCAAGTCCATGAGTCCAGGGGCTTCCCCAAAAGCTTAGAATGTTTTGGCAGTGACTTGAGGATCTTTTGTTTTCTGACTCTTAGATCTCTTTTTCCTTGGGGTCATGGGAAAACTCCCTGAACTTGATTATTTATTCACTTCTTTCATGCTCCCCATATTGTCACAGCCATGTTCAAACCATGTTATCGGCAGGTCTCACTGAAAAGGCAATTTAATATTGCCCTGCGTTGCATCATTGCATATATTATTTCGGTCTGTCACGGACTGTCAGCAAGGCTTGATGAAGTGCAGAGCCAATAGTACCAAGCCTGAAATCTGACAGCTCTTTCGAAGAAGCGGCTCTGATTGGTACAGGGGTATTTCTTCAGAAATAAGGCCGTCTTGGTGTCTTTGTTGATACAAGTGGCAATCTAGCCCCAGTCATATCTCCCCCTGAGCTCTATCTTCAGAACTGGTGATTCAGTCTGTTGTATGGCTTGGAAAAACAGAGCCACCACAGGCCTGGGATGTACTGAAGGCTGCAGCCGGGAATAGTTGGGTAATTTATCCCCACTCTCGGGCTCTAATTATTCTGTTATTCACCAGCTTGTTCGATTGAGACTCTCCAGGTTCTGCCTTACCCAAGCAGGGAACAAAAGGCTTCCCTTGAAAGTGGGGGCCTGGCAATGTCAATACAGTGAACTGCATATAAATAATGCAGCAGTGCCGACTTCATTTTTATAAAATCTTGTTGAGAAAGGCATGATAATGATCAGACCTCTGGAACTCAGCAGACGTATGCTTTTGATGTGTGCCTTGCTCTGGGTAAAAGCAGGAAAGTCAAAAGTTCTTTTTCCTGCTAAGGCTTCTTCATGGTCTCAGGACTGTGACGGGAATCCTGGTGACACTTTCCCTTTGTTTCTCTCAGAGTTGTGGGGCTCCTCCCTGGCTGGAAAAACTCTGATATAAACACAGTGGGTCCACAGGAAATATTTTCTGAATTGATGTTTTTTATTAGGATGATGATGATGGTGATGATAATTCTCAGTTACTACTATTCATCATCAAAAATGGATTTTATTGCCATTTTAATCCTCCCCAGACTAGAGTGGCTTATCTCTCAGATTGCCCTCCCAGCTGGCCTTCGGTCTTTTCCTTTTGTCTGCTTAGATTCCCCAAAAATGAGTCTCTGGGCTATAAACCTGGCAGCCAGAGCTCCAGGAGTTGAGTTGGGGGAAGGATCTTCAGGGCTGACTTGCAAAGAGGCATTTCCTTACTTTATCGCTCTGTTCTTGTCACGATGCTCCTACTTGTAGCTGGGCCTTGTTACCCTACTCAGTCTCAGGCGAACCTTTGTTGTCTCTCACGGTGCAGGAGAGGAGTACCCTGGTTGCTCATCGTGAGGGCACATGAGGATCTACTCACTTCCTACAAAGCTTTCAGCCATCTTGCCGTTTTTAGCCCCACCTGTATTCCCACTTTCTGAAGTACCTGGTGCCTTTGCAAGGAAATCACTGTGCTTCTGGACTTTTCACCCCGCTACTTAGGTTTTATCTTTCGAAGTCTATCAAGGGCCTTACAACTGATCCATCTGTGTTTTCTGCCTTTCAAATCTCTGCTGCTATCATCTCTCCTATTATCTTTGTCATTGTGGGTTTTTGCCTTTCTTATACTGCCATCTTATTGGAATCTTTAAAGTGAGCAGAGGTCAATGTGTATTGCCAATCCCGCATCTTTAACTGGAAGGCTCTTTTTGTTTTTTGCTTTTTTCGAAAGAAAAGAAGATGTGTTAGAGATTCAGCATGTGTTTGTGTCTGGGGACGTAGGTGACGGGAGGTATGTAAGGTAGACAAAACACGTTTTCAAAAAGCTCTCCTCGTTCCATTAAGGTGGGTGGTTTGTGCAGGGGACGCAGTGTTCTGCAGTTGCTCTTGGTCACTCCAGGAATCAAGAATCTAGGCTTCTCTCTTCTAGAGCTTGCTCAGGGCCTTATAATGGAAACAATTAAAAAAGTGATTAGGAACCTGAAAGTTTCCTCGTATAACTGACATCCTACGGTTCTCATTAATTTACTTAATAAACATGGATTGAGCTTTCAAAACTTTGGGCCAGAGAGGCACTGTGTCTGGTCCTGGGGAATGGCATGACGAATAAGGCAGATACAGACGGTCCCTGCTGTGGGAGGTCATGGCCAGACCAGAGGTGCTGAAATTCCCAAAAGGCTGGATGGAGCATCAGGAAATGAAACAAAGTAACATTCTTTTATTAGAAGGAGGTAGATGCTTTAGTACCTCCTGACCTTCCCCACTCAAACAGGCTCTTATCTGAAATACTATAAAAAGAGAGCAAGCCCACAGTTCTGGACCCCTCCACCCTGTCAGACCTTTTAATCAACATGGGCCACTGAGACTGATGTATTTTAGGCAAACCTGTGTAAAAAAAAACCAAGGGTGACCTTAGGTGGTCACATCCAGTTAAACTGTCATGAATCCTTGATGTCATGTACAGTCTCGCATTGCTTGTTAGTTCTGAGCTAAAACAAAGAAGAAAGAAATCAAAGTGTAGTTGAGTCAAGTTGCCATTCTAACAAACTACGATTTCTTCTTGAACCCACAGGTTGTCTTGATGAATTGACCCTTTTATCATTATGCACCTCTTTTTTCCCTGGTAGTATTTCTTGTTCTGAAGTTTACTTTCTGATATTCATATAGCCACATGTCCTTATTTATTATTAGTATGTGCCTGGTGTATCTTTTTCTCTCCTTTCACTCTTGAACCCATCTTGCATCCGTATATTTAAATAAGTTTCTTACAGATAGCATGGAGTTGGATTTCATCTTTTATTTTTTAATCCATCCTAACAATTTTTGCCTTTTCATTGGAATTTTTAGACTAGGTTTTAATCTGCCATCTTGCCATTTGCCTTTTATTTGTTCTGTGTATTCTATGTAATTTTTTCCCTTTTCTTGCCTTCTTCCAGATTACTGAAATGTTTTTAGTATTCCATTTTATCTCCCAAATTGGTTTATTGATTTTATCTCCTTTTTTTTTTTTTTACTGGTTCCTCTAGGATTTATAATACGCATCTTTAAGTTATCACAGTTTACCTTAAAATAATTTTACACCCCATCACATATAATATCTTTCATATCTTTCTATCATTTGTGCTATTATAGTCACGTTTTGTTTGTACATATGTTATAAGCCCTGCAGTACATTGGTTTTTTTTTTTCCTAAATTATCTTTTAAAGATGAAACTTAAAGTCAATTCTCTTTTTTTTTTTTTTTTTAAGATTTTATTTATTTATTTGACAGAGAGAGACACAGCGAGAGAGGGAGTACAAGCAGGGGGAGTG